CTGTAGTGTGCAGCTGGGATTGAAGAGTAGAGAGGGTCCCGCTGCCACACTGTGGGCCTCTGGCAGGGCAGGGATCAGTGCGAGGATGCCATGAGTATGCCGCAGCACAGCGTGAAGCAGGTGAATGCAGCACGACTCCAACCCATCCCACCCAGGCTGTAATGCCACTGTCTACAGGCTTGCACCACTGCTAGAGCCTGTAGGCAGGTGAGATAGGTGTGCGGCTTGCAGCCCCATGAGAAACCTTTCAGAGGACAATTCACAAACCCCGGGCGGAAGAAACATAAAGAAACCTGAGCTTGATAGATCTCTACGGCGTTCCTCCAAATAAATTAATTGGTGTATGGGATACAGCTGGTTCCCAGAGTGAAACAAGCATTTCTGTTTGCCAGGACCTCATAAGAGGATAGCAAAGATCAGGATTTCAGTGTGCCTGAACTGTGAAGCTGAGCACAAAGCGACGGAAACAGGCTTTGACAACTGCAAGTCCTGAATTAGATCACAACCCTCTGAGCTCTGCCAGTCAGCCAGTTTTCAATCCACCTTGCTGTCCACTCATCTATCCCACACTTTCTAAGCTTCGTTACAAGGATGTTGTGGGGGACAGTGTCAAAAATCTTCCAGAAGTCACATCCACTGCTCTCCTCTCATCTCCCCAGCTGGTAATGACATCACAGAAGGCTGCCAGGTTCATCGAGCATGATTTTCCTTTGGTGAATCCATGCTGACTATTCCTGATAACCTTTGTCTCTTCCAATTGCTTGGAAATGGCATCCAGAACAAGTTGTTCCATCACCTTTCCAGGGACAGAGGTGAGGCTGACTGGCCTGCAGTTGCCCAGATCCTCCTTCTTGCCCTTTTTGAAGACTGGTGTGACATTGGCTATCATCTGGCACCTTTCCCATTCTACAAGACCTTTCAAAGATGATAGCAAGTGGTTTGGCCATCATACCTGCCGGCACCCTCAGCAAGTATGGGTGCATCCCATCGGGGCCTAAGGATTAGTGTGCATTGATTTTGTCTAGACGCTCTCTGATCAGATCCTCCTCAACCAAGGGGAAGTCTTGCTTTCCCCAGACTCTCTCCCTTACCTCCAGATCTGGGATTCCCAAGGAGCAGTCTTGGCAGTAAAGACCGAAGCAAAGAAGGCATCCAGTATCTCTACCTTCTCAGCATCCCCTGTTACAAGGGCACCCACCTCATTCAGTAGTGGACCTGCATTTTCCCTTGGCTTTCTTTTACTATTGCCATACTTTAAAAAGCTTTTCTTGTTATCCTTGACCTCCTTTTCCAGTTTTAATTCCAAATGGGCCCTAGCCTTCCTTGTCTCATCCCTGCAGGCCCTGACAGCGTTCCTGTATTCCTCCCAAGTGGCCAGGCCCTTTTTCCACATTTTGTAGGCTTTCTTCTTGCCTTTGAGTTTCTCCACGGGCACATGGGCAGCACAGAGGCCTCTGGCCACCTTGCTCTGATTTCTTACTCTTAGGGGTGCACCAGTCTTGAGCTTGGAAGAAATGGTGTTTAAGTGTTGACCAACCATCTTCTCCCACACTGGGCAGTTCATCATTTTCTCGAGTCCCTGCCTTTGCCTTCTTGGTCTGGGCTACATTGCTAGAGCTCATTGGCAGCAAAGACTGAGGCAAAAAAGTCATTGAGTTCCTCAGCTTTCTCCATATTCCAGGTAATCAGGTCTCCCGTGTCCTTCCAGAGAGGGCCCACAATTACTCTAGTCTTTCTTTTATCACTGATGTACCTATAGAAGCCTTTTTTGTTGCCCTTGATGTCCCTGGCCAAATTTAATTCTAATAGGACTTCAGCTTTCTTAACCTGATCTCTGCCTGAATAATTAAAACATTTTTTTAAAAAATATGTTTCCTTGTCTTTAGATGGTTAAAAGTGAAATTAGTTATCAAGGTGTGCATCAAGCATGGCATTGCTAGCCAGTTGAGGGAAGTGATTGTCCTGCTCTACTCTGCACTGGTGCAGCCTTACCTCGAGTAATGGGTGCAATGTGGGGCACCACAATATAAACAAACAGAAAATCATTAGTGTCCAAAGAAGGACTACAAAGATGGTGAAGGGTCTAGAGGGCAAGACATATGAGGAGCAGCTGAGGTCATTTGGTTCATTCAACCCAGAGCAGAGCAGGCTGAGGGGAGGGCTCATGGCGGCCTGCAGCTCCCTCATGAGGGGAGCGGAGGGGCAGGCGCTGAGCTCTGCTCTCTGGGGACAGCGACAGGACCTGAGGGAACGGCATGGAGCTGGGACAGGGGAGGGTCATGCTGGGTGTTAGGGAATGGTTCTTCATTGAGAGGGTGGTCAGGCACTGCGACAGGCTCCCCATGGAAGTGGTGATGGCACTGAGCAGTTCTTGGAATTCAAGAAGCGTTGGACAGTGCTTTCAGACATGGAGTCTGATTTTTGGGTGGTCCTGTGTGGAGGCAGGAGTTGTAACTCAATGATCCTTGTGGGTCCCTTCCAGCTCAGAATATTCTATGATTCTATAGTCGTGTGTTTAATTAATGAGCAAAGTATAAAGCAAGATGCTTCCTTATTTTTCAGAGTGCTGCAAGAGCCCAGTTGTTTGAAGTGCTGGTTCACTTAAAACAAGCTTCTTCAGGACGGTAAGTATCTCATACTGTTAACAGCTTGTAAAATCCTTTGTGTTTTTCTGGCTCCAGAGATTAAAATAGAAACATTGGAGCTTTGTTCGTGTCTTCAGGACAGCATCATGTGGCATGCAAAGCTGTCTTGGTTTGTTAAACTTATCCTTTCTACAGAAGAACACTAAATTTCATATATATTAGTGACCTGTCTATACTTTCCTGTAAGGAAATTGCAGTGAGAGATGCTCAGATTAGTGAGCTGCCTAAGAACACAGCTACAAGAGTATATTAACAGTATGAGGGCACTGTATTTATTCCATATAGCTGCTTGTATATACATACTTGCAGCAGAATAGTAAACCTGCTAGTTTATGATAATGTGCTTGTGTAGTCAAGTCCTGAATAACAGCTGCTTTAGAAAGTTCAGGATTAATTTATTGAGGATCCCTGTTATTCCATCACACATCTCCTGCCTTACTACTTATCTGGAGAAATTGTTGTCCTTTCTTTGTGATAGTCTGCAGCAGGAATTACTTACATTTTCTTTGTAATTATATACATTTAGTTGGTGGATTTGGCCTATTCGTACATAGAATGAAGCTAGAATGTTCCTATAACTGTTCATCTAGGAAGCAGTACTAGTTTGCATTAACCAGACGACAATTAATAGTCTAAAGCAGATAAACAAATAATTGGTTCCGGGGAAAATCTCTCTCTCTTTTCACTGTCCCTGCATTTCAGATTTTTTGAGACAAATTGTATGTTTTTGTTCATCATTCTACTTAGCGATAGCACGATCTTACTGGAACTGTTGAGCAATGAAATGTTAATTGAAGAATCCAAATATATTAATAAAATAGCATAGGTGTAAACAAAGATGCCAATGTGCGCTGAGATGTATAGTAGTGGAATACAGCTGTCTTATCTGACAGATCTAGCAGGGGAGAGGAGAAAGCTGACCTGCAAAGGCCTGCTGATTTTGTTTGAGAGAAGTGGTTTACAGGAATCAAGGCTGTTCTTGTTTTGTGTAGTAGATGAACTATAAGAAGACCAAAGAAACAGTGCGATGGTGAATGGAAAGGGATAAAAAGAACAGGGAATTAATTTAAGGAAGAAAAGTATAAAAGAAGAGACTGGAATGTTCTTAAGCCAGTGACCTAAGCCAAGAGCAATGACTGCTTCACCAGTACTGCATCATTTTACTTCCACCTTTGTTCCTTCTCTCATTTTGTATTGCTCTCTTCTTGTAAACTCTATCCTGATGTTCCCTCAGAACCTGTGCCATCTCTATCTGTATATAAAAAGCATGTAAGAAGCCAAAATCTGATAAAGGAAAAATGTAGCAGCTTGATAATGGATATGGAGAGCAGATAAGGAAGCAGAAAATGCTGAAAGACTTAATAGCTCCTCTACTTCAGCCTTCCTAAGAAAAGCAGAAGAGCAACAATAACAAGGAGAATGGAAAATGAGAGGTCAGCAAGCAAAATGAGGAAGAAATAAGAAGCAGCTCAGCTGTTCCTGTAATGCTGCTCAAGTCTGACTGAGATTTTGCATTTCAGAGCCGACTCATATTTCCTTCTCATGCATGCTATGGAGATGAAGCCTGAGTTGAGTCCTTAGTATATTCTTTTTTGCTCTGAATTCATGATAATTACATTTGATCCACCAACTAGAAAGGCCTTCTGTGTTCCTAATTCTGCTGTCTAACGAGTATATGCAGGGCAGAGTATAAGACAGAGAAACTGTTTTTAAGCTGGTCTGATGCCAGAAATATTTAAGTCAGGACTGTGTTGACCTCTGTGCAGGGGTAATTTATGCTGCTATACATAAATGGTTTTTAAATTTATAGCTACTGCTTACCTTACATTACTACTTACAAAGTAGTATCTAAGTAGCTTCATTCTGACTTGAAGCATCTGTTACCTGAAACAGTATTTCATAATCACCTGTACAATAGATGGATCAAAAGTATCTATGTGGCTTTGCAGTCTCATACTGTCTTATGTATTCCATCAGATAATTTCAGACTCAGTGCTTTACCACCACAGTGACCTGGACTGACTTAATTCCTTCTTCCAGGTAGTCTTTGCACCACTTCATTCTGACTTTGAGTAATGCACTGTCTCAACTATGGAAATTGTATCCCCACACATTTTTTTCTTTTTTAAAATGATTAGTCATTATTTGGGCTGGCTGTTACCAGTCTTTGTATACACTTGCCCTTATAGTGGCATCAGTTTGAATAGGTTTTTATAGTCAGAAAGAGAAAGGCTGACAGTCCACGGTACATGTTTTAGGATTGGACAGGTAAGACCAAAATACAATGCCCTGTCCAGCCTGAGCTCTCTTTTTCCTGTTTTCAGAGTTACTTTCACTTCTCATTCATCCCATTCATTAACTCCTGACATCAAGTTTATTAATTGTCCATCTCCCATACTGTGGTATTAAGGTACTGTGCACTCTGGGACCAATCTTTGTTGGGGACTGAAAGAGGTGAAGAAATTTTCTTACTGGATTCAGAAATATTGCCATTACCTAGCCTGAGATTTCTGTATTACAGCTTCTATACAAAAATGCACCAACACTGACTTTGATTTAGAGGTGCACATAAAATGAGAAACTGCATCATAAAGGATTTTCATTAAAAGAGAATACATACAAAAGTAGGGAACAGGAGCTGGTGACAGCCAGTAGCCCTGGCTTGGCAGCAGGATCTGTGGGTACCAGGCTGGGACTGTAATAGGAATAGAAAGGCAACATGAAATCCTCTAGTTCCATACTTCCCTCCCAACCATATGATTAAATACTAAATATTTCCAGTCATACTTCTGTTTTTATTTTCATGCTATATTTTGCATTTCCTTAAAAAACTGGAATACTGTTTCCAGCCCAGCCCAGCATTTTCTACTTACTCATAAGTCTACCATTTCTACGAGTCGACAAACTTTTCTTCTTCCTGCAAGATAGTATTAACTGATGAGTCATCTGAAAAAAATTCATGTGTTTTCCCTGATTCGTTCATCTGGCTTCTGTCTGTGTCTTTCTAGACTGAAAACTTACTATGGCAGGAGCATAATTTTAAAGCTTATTTATAACTGTTAAAATAGGTTATTAAAAGTACCTCAGTTGTTGTTGACCATGTATAGTCAAGTAAAATAATTTCTGATCTGATGAGTACCAATCCTTTGACTACTAGTATAAATTTGTCATTACGGTCTCAAAATAAACATTATAAAAGGTAGTAAAAGGGAAAATTGATTTTTCTCCATTGGATTCTATCCATTAAAAATCATGGAAAGCAGAAACTTCTAGGAAATGTGGGCACCATTTTCTGATTTTTTTTTCTCTGAAGTCAACACTATGAATTACACTCTTCTCAGAAGGTTAGCATCATCTTAAGAGAACCACAATAGATGACGGTGATGTCATCACATGCTTTTTAATGAGCAGACTTGATTGCAGGGAGGAGAACACTAACACCATAAGAAACAATATCCATTTTCATAATTGCACAGAAAAAGTTTCCCAGGAGTCTGTGAGCCCTTTTCCTTAGTATTGCTTTTAGATGGATAGGGTTGAAGTGAGCAGCAAGACAAAGAACCTAAGTTCTCAAGTTGGGTGTGGAAGGAATAACCAGGGGCTTGAAAATTGCTCCAGAAGTATAAGTAAATATATAAGTAAATATTCTTAGGCTTTGTGTTAGGAGCAAGGTAGTGGGAAGATAATGTGAAGAATCCAGTAATTCAGAGCTTTTCAGAGGGTGATTTTTTTATACCTTGTGTTTGTCTATCTGTGTATTGCCAAATGCTGGGTAGTTTTCTCTTTCCCAGAACTGAGCAAATCAGAGTTCATGTTTTCTTTTCTTCTTTTTACTTTTAAGATAAACATATTTGGATCAGGAAAAATTAGAAGCTGAAAACAGAGTAGTTTACTAGACATACAAGCATACAGGAGATAATTTCATTTTACTAACTTTCTAAGGGCACTAAAAAAAACATGCCATATTTTGAAAATAGCTTGGACAATTCTCCCTCATATACATATTGCTATTCTGTTTTACAGTTGCCTTCAATGTCTTATATCACAGTATTACTCAGATGTTCCATTTTTAACATGGGAAACTGGCTCAATACTCATGCCACTAAGTGGTGAGGTGCCACATATGATCGAGTGCAAAATTGTTCCTGTGTTATAGTAAATTCATGACCGATTATCTGATTAACATTGTCATTGTATTCATTATTAACAGTTATTCTGCTGTTTTATACATTAAAAAAAATCCTTATTATGCCACATAGGAATTAAATGTGTTTTGTTGTTTTGTTTTGTTTTGTTTGTGTGTTTTTCTGAATGTTAACAGTCTGGGTCAGTATATTATAGAACATTTTTAGCACTCTAATTACTCATAATTACTTTAATAAAATAATGATCTTGGATTAAAATAATTTATATTTTATTTATTTTATTATTTATATTATTTATATAATATATTGTATAATTATTTATATTATATATTATAAATATATATTATGTAGAGTAACAAAACTTACTGATTTTTTTGTCTGTCTGTCCTGTTTACTGTAGAAGGCAAGTTCTTCATAGCAGTGACTGTATTTCATGGTGAATATATAGTCCTTGAGTCTATGTAAGATCAGGGTCCCAGTCAGAACCAGTAACTGTACTTCCTGTTGGAATATTAATGCTGGTGTTTAAAGGAGAGCACAATTAATTTTTTTGCCTATGCAGGAACTGATGGTTTCATTTCTTCTCTAGAAATGAGAGTGGATATAAAGTGGATGTTGTGTGGTGGCAGTAAATATTTTTTGTGATAATTTTTGTTGTATCTAAATTAAAAAGACACAAGAAGTAGTTTGTGATATTGAGGTCAAGTGGAATTACTGGCTTTATGTATATACACATTGCTTAGAACTGGTTCTCTTTCTCTCCCCCACCAAAGTAAACCAATAGTATCCAAAAACATAACCCCATATGATGGCCTTGTAGTCCCAAGACATAATTGATATTTTGCATGCCCTTTCTCATTACACAGTATGTTAAATCATGTGGTATGTAAATCATGTGGTAGCAGCACACCACAGTAGTGTTTTTATGATACAAAACAGAGGAAGTATTTGTAAATCATGGAGAGGATTTACTAGATCATTTCTTGAATGTTCACACGTGCATCCCCTTTCATACCTTTTTAGAGATTCAGATTAATCATGACGTGATAGTCTTGATTGGCTCCAGGGTGTAAGGCCAGGGTAGAGGGATGCTCTCTGCGCCCTTTAAGAAATGTCCCAGTCTGTCTCCCCTGGTTAGTGTGGAACTTCCAAAGTGAAGAGCCATGGTCCAGTGGCAGTACACAAATAAAACAGTCTTTTCCTTACACTAAGGCTTATGATAAGGCACTATCATTCATATGATATATGATGCTGTTATCTCACTGTTGTGGGAGGAAAGACAGAATAGATTACAGGTCACTTGCATATACACTTTCTCAAAAAGTACGCCAAAAACTTAAAACTTCACCAAAGGTCACATACTAGGTCATTGAGATAAATGCTGGCTGGAAGGAAAGCTGACCTGGTAGCCCCCTATTCCATCATACAAAGGTGAAATGATCTACAGGTTCGTCTTTGCTTGGCATAATGTGGTTTTCCGATAAGGTTAAAGAAACTCAGAAAAACTGGTGGGTCATACAAAAATTGCTTCCAGTATATAAATTAAAGTCAAGGTATTACTGTTATAGGTAAAGCACAGGAATCTAGTGAGAACTCTTAAGCAACACATCTTTATGTTCAGTCCCTCATTTTGTGCTTTGTAGAAGCATGGTGCTAGAAGCCATATCACCAGGTGACTGATAATCTGTCCTGCTCTGTAATCAAATCATGATGTATCTAAATAGTTCTTTTACAGATGTCTGAATAGTGCTGTTTTGTTGTGTTTTTTTTTTTTTTTTCTTTCTTTCTTTCTTTCTTTCTTAATGAATCTTTAGTAATTAGAATTCTTCAATTCAGAGATCCTCCAATTCTTAGCATCTTAGCAGTTCCAGTGGTTTGTTATTCTGACCAAGAGTAGGTTTCTACAGCTATAAATGAAGAGATAAACGTAGCTGTCTACATTTAGGTCTCTTCATGCTAGGTTCTATTTGAGAAAATATTTAATTGAAGGTTTCGCTAAGGGCAGTGGCACCTGGAGAGCCATCCCTTGCACTCTCAAGTAGCCATTTACCATAGCAGAACCCAGGCCATAAGAGCCGGCTGAGCTAGGCACAAAGTTTATTTATGGACATCTGAGGTGGCCGAAGCTGTAATCCACTCCAAGTACCTAATCTAGATCTCCCATGCTGCAATTTAAATCAATTTATATCTCTTTCACAGTCAGCCTGGAGGACACATTACTCTTTTTAGTCCAATATTTGCCTTATATTTGTTATTTTCTCCTGTAGACTAATCAACTGTATTTTCTCACAAACCATGTCATTAGACCTTTAATAACTTGATGATCTCTTTGAAATTCTCTCCAGGCAGTCCATATCTTGCTTCAAGGAATTTGCTCAGTTTATATATGTTTGAAGTACAGTTTCAACTAGAACAAAAGTGTTTGTTGTTTTTTTTTAATGTTATTGTATTCCTGTTTAAATTTCAAGTAGAATGTTGATCTATTTTCTGCAATAACATACTTGATAACTGCAGTAAGCCAGGAGTTATTGTCTGCTATAATTCTGCTCCTCTGAACTACTGTGTAACTAGTTGTTATCATTATGTATTTGTGCAGCTTATTATTCCTACACTTCCTAGGTTTTCACTCCATTTTTTCATACATTTTTCCTTATTTTTTCAAACCTATATATATTTCTTTTTCTTTCAGGCAAGCAAAAGCCATGTATTCCTGTAAGGCTGAGCATAGTCATGAGCTGTCTTTCCCACAGGGGGCAATATTTTCCAATGGTAAGATGTTTTACATTCTTTGTTTACATGAAAAACAAACCAGTCAACAAATAATAATAAATAAAAACAAAAAATGAATGGTACCCACAAGATAAGAGAATGTAATTCCATTTCCAGCTCTCGGCTTTGGCCTTGATTATTATATTGCTGTTGAATAAAAGCTGTTTAAATAAATATACGAAACATGTAGGGTCTTTTAACTGTCTTAATTTATTGTAAATATGTTTTGTTTGGTTGTTTTTTTACAGTGTATCCATCAGTAGAACCAGGCTGGTTAAAAGCAACTTACGAAGGCAAAACAGGACTCGTTCCTGAGAATTATGTTGTCTTCCTCTAGTAATCTTCAGTGGACAGCAATATCTTCATGGTATCCATGGTAACAAATAATAAGCACTATGATTTTTATCTGACACAGATATGGGATCAGCCCGTTAGCTGAGCGTGGTAGATTTCCTTCAGATACTGCAGCTGCAGGTTATATAGCTCCCTATCAACGGAACAGAATGTAATGAAACAGTTAACAGTTACTGTACTGAAGACGGTACTCTGTTTAAATAACTTCCATTGTTTGCAAAAGGTTGTTCTGTTCTTCTTTTATGGGTAAGGAACACTACAGAAATAAAATCAAAAAAGTTGCCATTTAGCTGCAGACCTTCAGGTTCTCGGATGTTGCTCAGAGAAGTGTGAAATTTAGAGGCAATGCACTCTGTGACATTTCTTACAATCTGTTTCTTTTAATATGAAAAATTGTGGTTTTTTTCCTAATGTAAGTAATGTTTCTATTGTGATCTGAATGCTCCCATAGAAAAATCAATTCTGAGATTAGTCCTAATCATTTCAAATAAGAAATGAGTCTTCCATAAATCAGAAGTTTGAACTTGTTAGTCACTGAGATTACAATATGTTATAGAATTTATGTAACTGATAATGAAATCAGATTATACACTGCCTGAGCAGTAAGTGCTCATTCAAAATGTGATGTGTTTAATGAATGTTTCATTCAAGTACTTCTTAGATTTATTTCCTCCTTTCTATATCAATATAAATAAGAATAATAATAACTAGTATTTCTGTAATAGCAGTCAGGTGGAAGATACTCTCGGTGTATCTCAGAGCAACAGCAGTAGAAAACAAGGAAATACTCAATCTGGAATGATGGGTAGATATGAAGTGAGCAATGAAAAGCAGCAATATGTTTTGAAACCTTAGATAAAAAGTAACTAAGTCCTTTTCAAGTTTTTTTTTCCATTTCAAATAAGACAAAAGTACTTAGCATTATTTCTTCTGACTTCCACTAAATTATTTGGCAAATGTTCCTCCGTTACATGGGATTAAAAAAAAAATGAAAAAAAATAAAATAAAATAACCTTGGTTGATAAAGATTTTGTAAATACCCATTGTCTGCTCTTGGTGGGCCTGGAAAAAAAAAGAAAAAAAAAGAAAAGAAGATATAAGCAGCTTCCTAAATTTGAACCTCTTTCTTTTACACCTTGAGGGAAAACATGCAGTGCTTACTTGGCTAGTTACCGTGGCCTGTTGAAAAACAAGATACATAAGCGCCATATTAGTAGCTTTTCAGCATTAGTGGCACAGAAGGAATCCACTGTTTCATAGACCTATTCAGTCTTAGTTCTTTGTTCAATAACAGTAATCAGTATATAAACTTCTGCTGATTTATAAGATGTACACTGCTTCCAGAATGTTTTAGGAAGAACTTTTGCTAGGACTAAAAACACCAGTAATCTACCAGTTGCTTATTTCTAAGCCTTTTGGGGGTTTAAATTAAAAAACAGATTTATTGCCAATATTAAGAAGCACATCAGAACCTTCTTTACTTGTGTATAGCGCATGATTTCTGAAAAAAAAATCCGTGTTGGAATTCAGGCTGGTGGCAAAAGCCTGCAGGATCCTTCTCGCTAGTTGAAGTATCAAGTGGCACTCAGGAAAGTGGAGAGACTGGAAGAACATCCTTTCAAGAATGGTGTGGCGTTTCAGAGGGGAGGTCTGTGGCAGTAAGCCAGGCCAGTGTGGGTAAGGCAGTTGAGGAGAGACCCCTTGAATTAGTGACTGACTGATCTGGGTTCTTTCTTCACCCTAAACAGTTTTATTAGGTCCCAAATCATGTTTTCCCTCACCTTAAGACCAGGCTGTATTCAGTACATTGTGATGAAGGGTTCATCGCAGGCAGTGGAGGCACACACGTGTGCTTGTCAAATTTTCCCAGAGCGTGAAGGGAAGTGAAGAGAAGGACTTTTTCACCAGACTGAGCCTTATTTTTAATGCAAGCCAACATTTGTTTGTGTAAGCTATGCCTGCAGCTGCTGTTGCCCTCAGATCAACATGGGTTTTGTTGTATTTTTACTGTTATTTCACAATCCAAAAATTGCAGGGTGCCAAAAGGCTTCCCTCTGTTGAACTGCTCAGGAGAATGCTGCTGCAGGGGAAGAGGAGTAGAAAGGGAGACAGAGCTGTGAGCAGAGGTTCCAGGCCCTGCACGTGCCTCACCCACATGGAGAAATGCAGTGGTCTGGGTCTATCAATTGCACCAGGCAAACTGACCTTTGTTTAACATCCTTTTCTGACCCCTCGTGCCTCTTACGAGGAATTTGATTGTTGTGAAATTCTTGAGGAACGGTGAAACAGAAAATGCGTGCTCTTACTTGCTTTGCTTTAGTCTGAGTAAATCAAAAACAAAATGAAAAGAGAGAGCAGGAGAAGACTAATTGTAGGTAACCTCACAACGTTTGCATGTGTTTGGATATTCTGCAACAGGATGTTTTGAAACCAGCTGATCTGAGTGCAAGCTAGAAGACTCAAAGATGCTCAGTTCGTATAAAAAATCATAAAAATGAAAGGTTCAGTTACAGATTAAGTAGAGCCTGTAAGCATTGAGGGAAAGGTTGTAGAAGGAGGAATCCCTGTAGAGAGGTGGTGTGTCTTTTGCCGTGCATTCATCTTACATTAGACACACAAGTCAGTTGCAGAAGGCGGTTTCATGAGAAAGGGATCTCATTCATTCTGCTACTCACAAAACAAATCTATCTTTTCCTCTTTAAGACTGTGCACTTTTCAAGGCTCTTATTCTGTTGAACCAGCCATGGTAATCACATAAATAATTTTAAAGTAGCTTAGCTTTAAAATGTTATTTTCATCTGGAAATGTTCCTCCCATGCTTGATTACACTTAGTATCAATGGAAAGTAGGGTTATTCTGGTCCTCTCTACTGCGGTACATAACAAGCACTTTCTGTATCATTCCACTGCTGGGTTGTAGATGCCTCTGCTCTTCCCTGACTTTCCAAGAGGGAGTTTATCTCCAGGAGAAGCTGTACAGTGAACTGGAAAGTTACGTACCTGGGTGCTCACTGACTGGAATGGGGGAAGAGTGCAGCACCAAGGCTTGTCTACTGACAAGACTCTCAGCCCTGGCCAAAAATCCCTTCTAATATTTGTAAAGGATCAGAAATCCATGTAAAATTTAAATGACGATATAATACTGAGATAGTGCCTTACCAGCAAGTTAGGCAAGCTGAACTAAATTAGTTCATAGGATTGATTTACTATTTTTTGTGAAAGTCAGAGTCACTCTACAAGCAAAGTTTAATTTTATTATAGTTTTTTTTTTAATTATCCTTCCTAAAAGGATATAGCAGTTTTCTCAGAATATCACTGTAGAATTTGAGGTAGATAACATGTTGTGATTGCTGTTTGTCTTGTGAAAATACCCACCACTTAAGTAATTAGCCATGTTTTTTCTATGTTAAACTTGTGGTACATGTTGCAGTACAACATGAATCAAATTAATAGTGTGAAGGACTGATATATTGTATGATAAATATGTAAAGTATATTATATTATATATTCACACTTTTTATTAATGATAAAGATGAAAAAATATTTTTTGTGTAATTCCTATGAGTTCAGTATTAAAATGTCCTTGCCATATTTTGGCATTTAGAATACTATGTAACAAAACTCTTAAATTAAACCATAGATATCACTTAAGTCCCTAACTAATCTATAAAGTTCATTTGTTCGATTATTTCTGGAAAAAAATGACGCACAGATTTGCTGACCAGTCTACTCTATGATAGTAATAGTAACTTATTTAACTTTTATATATTTTCTGTTGATAATCTCTATTATTTGCCTGTAATTGAATTCATTTTAATATGCCTTTAGGAAAGATATGTTAGGAAGAGAAAAGGATGCAAAATTCAGCAGTTCAGAACAATAGTTACAACAACAAAAAAGCATTATATGGTAGTAATTGGCTTTTTGTTACATTTCCCCACTGGTCTATTTTCTAGTTAATAAGGTTGGATCAGAATAAATGATGAACCCCCAAAACCTGTTGTTCCTAATACTTCCTTTCCTAAGGCAGCAGTTGGTACAATTTTGCATTGAGTAGCAAGAAGAGAAAGCCCAGTAAGGAAGCTTACCCTCAGGCTGGGGTGGATCTTCTAGACTGATGGAAACTCTCAGAGCTCTAGTGAGCACAAAGATAGACCCTTGGCAAATTATAGTGAGGTTTCGCTGGCCAGAAGCCCCCATACAGTAAATGTAATATAAATAGAATATTCTGTTAATGGGAAAACATGTGATATGTCTTGGCATTATCCTTTTGTTGTTTTTGTTGTTCATCAGAGCGCCTTATCTGAATCATTCAGTTACCAGAGATCAAACTAAGCAAGGTTCAGTTCCACTCTTTGTGGTCATGCAGCCCTGACAGCCACTGCTGATGCAGCCCTTCCAGTTACTGTTGGTGCAAAAGGCAGACTGTTGATCAGGCTCTATCAGTACAAGTCGGGAGGTCTCTTTTTGCATAGGATTTTGCAAGGGCTTTGGGAGTTTGCTTTGTTTTGTTTTAATAAGGTGCTTGGTATCCAAACAGCTACTAATACAATGTTGTAATTCAGTCACTGAAGATAATAGCATTGTTTTTCTTGTCCTGTATGTGGCAGTATTTAATAAGCCATAGGATAATCTGTGTTAAGTATAGAGAATGGTGCTTCAACCCTTGGACGTCTCAGCTGAAAGCTATTCTGCAACTGATCTTTTCGCAAGTGTTGTATCAATAATTGTCATAAAGTTCTGGCACTAGAGGCTGCATAATGATCTCAGCACTACAAGAGTTTCTGTTAGAGCAAAGGGCAAAGCAGCTGAACAGGACAGATAGCTTCAATTTTTCAAGCATATTTATGACGATTTTAGAGGTATTAGAGTTTATAGGGGTTACCTTAGAAACTATATGGTATTTTAATAGGAAAGTATATACAATCAATAACTATATATATATTTAATAAAGTCCTACTAAATTATCTTATTGAACTCTCTGTTTATTTTGTAGTGTGGTTTCAATAATTATCTGCACTCTGTATATACCTACATGTAAATAACTGGCATGATATGCATAAGCTGACTTGCAGACATAATTCTATGTTGTACTTTACACTGTATTTCAAAAATTTGAATTTTTTTTTTTAAATAAAAAGCCTTTCTACACAGACTCATTTCTTTATTATTTTTAAACTCGGACTCTGATTCAGCCTTTCTTTTTTCCAAAATAATAACACTTTAGTGCTGCACAGAGTTGCTGTCAATGGCTCAATGTTCAAGTGTAAGTGTTCATCAGTCAGAAGGGGCCCCTCAGGGGTCCGTATATCAACAATGCCAAGTGCAGGGTGCTGCACTTGGGTTGGGGCAATCCCAGACATGAGTACAGACTGGGAGAACTCATTGAGAGCAGCCCTTTGGAGAAGGACTTGGGGGTTCTGGTGGATGAAAAATTGGACATGAGCCAACAGTGTGTGCTTGCAGACCAGAAAGCCAGTGATATCCCGGGCTGCACAAAAAGCAGAATGGCCAGCAGGGTGAGGGAGGTTTTTCTTCCCCTTTACTCCATCTTTCCGAGACCCCACCTGGAATACTGCATCCAGCTCCAGCCCCAGCCATTCTATGATTCTATGACCTGATCCACTTCTACCAAGGGTTCCAAGACGTCATTGATGAGGTCTTTACCTCTGAAAATTCTCAGTGGATGGATCACTGGAAGGGATTTTGGTGATCCAAAGCCAACAGTACTTCCTGGAAGTGAAGTAATATCAGTGATGTGATTTCTGCAAGTTTTCTTGCATCCCCTTTCCCAGCATTTTTCCAAGGCTTTTCCCTCAGAGACCAACAGCTTTTCTAGTGCTGAAAACACTGAAAAGGGAATTATTCACCTGCGTAGACTTATTCCTGAAGGGATTCACCAAATACCCAAGCAACTCTTAAAGGTCTGGGGGAAAAAAAAAAAAAAAAAAAAAAAAAAAAAAAAAAGGAAGATCAAAGCAGTTAAAGCAGTTGATAAAGAGCTAAAGGCTCTGGTCTGAGTTTCATCTTTGTGTGGTTTTGAAGAATGCACAGGGCTGGCAGGTCCCAATCAAATCGCCTATGTAGACTCAATTTCTGAATATCCACTTTTATTGCCTTTAGTTGTGTGCTCACCTGCTGTGTTTGCTCCTGGGGTAGTGCCAGCACAGCACTGCAGGGGTGAGGGCTCCGAAATGGTGGCTGCTGACGTGCAAAGAGGCCGCACACTGCCACCAGTGGTCACTAAACATGACCTGCACGTTGCTATATTCCTAGCAGTCAGGAGCCAGTGAGGAGAAAATGCTCCCCTTGCCAGAGCACCATGGGGACAATTTGGACACAAGGTAAATCTGGGGGTGACTGAGTACAAACAGGAGCAATCCCAGCCTGCCCCACTGCTGGCTCTGCTGCCAGGGTAGATGTCAGCCTTGCCCGCACCCACGTGGAACTGCATGGGGCTGGCACTTGCCCCTTTGCACTCTTTGGCTGGTGCTGAGGACCACAAATGCATCATACGAGCTCTCACAGATGCCCAGCTCTGCCAATTTGTGAGTAGGCATGAAGGGCAACAAAATATGTGTGTAATCACAAGTTTCGAGTTCAAAACTTGAAATAAAAGTCACTTTTTCTTTGAGAATTTTCTGCCTTTTCCTGTTGAGTTGCAGGCTCCTTGGCTTTCAGGTCATCTGATTTGCAGAGTGCCTACAGCCCAAGACTAGTTTTGGGGGCATAGACCAAGCCCTAAAACAGATCTCATCACTTGTTTCTCACATGCCCATAAGGCCATTTTACTTGGCTCCATAGGGTAGCTTCAAGAATTCTCACTTCTGAGGAGCAGATATTCTGGCTTGCTGTATTTTGGCATTTCGGTGAGCATTTAAATGTAAAAATACATGAATTCCTGTTAAATTAACACAGTGTTACCATGTTATCACCAAACTAACAACTGCCAAAGGAGGAGACAGCGCATTTCTTACTAGAAAGCCTGAAGACAGACTTCATTTGGTCACATCGAGGCATCGTGTAGCGCATGAGCCTCGAGTGCTAGGAGGATCTCTGCACACTCAAGGTACTTAATGGTTTGGGAAGCCCGTAGTGGGAATGGTCGAGCAGTTGACTTGCGGAATAATTACATTATAAACAGGTGCTCACAGCATTGTGGAGCCCATGTGGTGTCTGGCTGAGGGGAAGCAGATGGGAGCCAGGGCCAGCAGCTGCGTGTGGACGTGGCCTGAGCAAGCCTCAAGGTTTAGGTCCCAGCTGTGCATGTTTTCACGTGGATTGGGCGTGATTCAGGCCTTCAAAACCCAGCTTCCTTTCTAACATGAACACTATGCTTATTAAGCATGATCAGTATTTGCACTTTTGTGTTTTTTAATTTTATGTCGCATTCACAAAGCTTTTCCTATGTAATTTTGATGAATCGCTGATATGGAAGGAAAAGTATTGAAAGATATTCTTGACTTTTTTTTTGCAATGGTTGGCTGGTTTTCTATTGTATTTATGGCAACAAGCTCAAAAGCTGAACTAGCCTAGAGCAAGTGCCTTTGCCAAAGATCATGGTGTGCTTTTTTAATGTAAACATGCAAGGATTCATGGGAACATTCAGTGACCTCCACAGCCGGTACAGAAAGGAGCCTTAATTCACTTGAAAGTACTTTGGTAATTGGAATACATCTTTCTGCCAGTATAATTGAGGAGTTGATTAGTTAGACTTACCTAGCACGGGTATATTTCATTTAAAATTACTGTTAATGGCTCTTGGGTGCCCTTATAAGGGATTAGAGTCCACTCTGAATGAAAAGCATTAGCAATTTATTTTTGTTGATGATCATTGCTTTCGTCTTCTTACAAAAAAAAAAAAAAAAAAAAAAAAAAAAAAAAGGAAATATGCAGCTTATCTTGATGGTGGAGATTTTTCAAAATGTGCTTTGAAATTGCATGTTCTGCATCCTGATAGCAGCGAGCTCCATCTCTGTAGTGTGCAGCTGGGATTGAAGAGTAGAGAGGGTCCCGCTGCCACACTGTGGGCCTCTGGCAGGGCAGGGATCAGTGCGAGGATGCCATGAGTATGCCGCAGCACAGCGTGAAGCAGGTGAATGCAGCACGACTCCAACCCATCCCACCCAGGCTGTAATGCCACTGTCTACAGGCTTGCACCACTGCTAGAGCCTGTAGGCAGGTGAGATAGGTGTGCGGCTTGCAGCCCCATGAGAAACCTTTCAGAGGACAATTCACAAACCCCGGGCGGAAGAAACATAAAGAAACCTGAGCTTGATAGATCTCTACGGCGTTCCTCCAAATAAATTAATTGGTGTATGGGATACAGCTGGTTCCCAGAGTGAAACAAGCATTTCTGTTTGCCAGGACCTCATAAGAGGATAGCAAAGATCAGGATTTCAGTGTGCCTGAACTGTGAAGCTGAGCACAAAGCGACGGAAACAGGCTTTGACAACTGCAAGTCCTGAATTACACAAAACAGGCAGAATTCTTATTGGTAAGGAAATTCCACAATAAATGAATAGAATGTGGAACACATCAAGGGGTGGCAGCACCCTTCAGGGACACCTGAGAGGCAGCAGGTAGACTTTAGGCCTCAGAGAGATTTCGGTGATACTAAGTTACACCAGGCACCGGTGATGCAAATACAGCTTTACATATAACAACAGCTTAAAGAGTCATGTTGAGTCTGTTCTTTCTTGCCGTTGCTGTTGCTTGAGGGACACTTGTGTTTGGTCATAAGAAATACAGTTCCTAATCTGTAATTATTAAAAATTGTGCTGCCTTGAATGGGAAAAAATATCACTCTGCACAATTCTGTTACAGTTTCGCTATAAGGCCTTTTATCAGGCCCTTCCTTGAGAAATTTGCAGTGATTGCTGTACGGGCATTTCACTCATCTTCCAGCTCTGATTTGCAATGGGGTGTGGGTCCTGCACTTAGCTTTCCTGCATATACATACATAATGAGTTTTCTGCATATACTTCGGATGGTGTAAAATGTGAGCACAGTCAATTTTACATTGGGATTTACATCAAAACTGTCAACATCTACAAAGAGGTTCAGGTTCCACTGCTGATAAAGCCTTTCCTTAATTTTAATTTTTTAATTTTTTTTTCTCATCATTGTTTAAAAGATCACTTGGAATATTTCCTGACTATATGAACTCTGAAGCCAAATGTCCAGGTATCTGCAAAGGCATCAGCACAAGAAATTCTGCTGAATGTTTTTTTGTTTGTTCATTTGTTTTTGCCTAATGTGATTAGCTTTGTTGGATAATTTTTATCCAGAGGGAAAATGAGGAAAAGGTGTTTCTTTATCACAATGTTATTTGTGTACATCCCTCATCTGAGTGCAGCAGGAATGACCACAGCTCTAAGCCTCCTCAGCCTTCTCTGGGGTCTGTACCTTCTCCATGGCCTCATCCTCTTCATTATTAACAAGGAAATCATGAATTTGTCTGCATTACTGCGTGGCAGGTTCCTGACACCTCTTATTTCTTTCACTGAGGTAATCACACAATAGCAGGGCTGTCCTCACTGGTAGCTGCAGGTGATTAGAGCAAGAACTCATTAGTATATTTAAGTGAAAGCTCTCAGGCACTGTGCAAAGACGAGTCAGTCTCTGCAGCATCTGTGTCATTACAGAGTCTGAAATGCTGCAAGGAACAAACACCTCATTTAGGCAGGCTGCTATTAGCTAAAGGCTAAAGCAAAGGGTTCTGCCTCCAAGGACTTTAACATCTCAGCTCAGATAATGGGTAACATTCTTTTACTCTTTTAGACCCTTCCTTTACCATGTCTGTTGTTAAAAAACATTTTTGAGGAAAATAGATAAATAGGCGTTCAGACTGAAACTGGACAGAGCACATACACACAGAGAAGTCATTGCACTCAATCCAGAGGAGCATCATTGCATAAATAAATAACTGGAGACTAAATAAAGATGTAGAGGTCCTTAACTGAATGCATA